ACCATGAAGCTTTAATTTGTTTGTATAGAACAAAACATTCCTAAAAGAAGACCAACCCAAATGCAAAGAGTATGAGACTATGAATCTTCCTATAGCGACAGAAACCAATCATGGTTCTGACCAAATTGCTTGGCCTCAACCTCACATGTTCAAAACAGAAACAATAACTACTAATGTTCATAAATAAATTAGGGTTTATGTTTCTTAATTCTTTAATCTTAATTTTTTGTAAATTTAGTGCATGATTAGCCATAAGTTCCATGGAGATTCGACCAAACTACCATTAAAATTAGGTAATGTCACATGGATAAGCAGGAGTAATAAGTTGTACAGATAAATAAATTAATTAGATAAGATGAGATTTGCCTTTGGTTGGTGGTTCAGTGGTTGCCATTATTGGGGCACATGCCATCAACTCATAGCTGCCTACAAAACAATCCCCCACTAACTATGTATACATATATGCATTAATATGTAAAAAATTAATTTTAAAATACCCTTTTTGTTAAATAGATGGAAACGAACAGTGCAGGTGAAATTCTTTTGTTTGAGCTAGTTCAAAGAACGAATTATTGTTTTTTTTATTAAACCAGTTTTCTCCGTTTACGACGCTAGGGTTTCAACTTTAGATGTTGTTTAAAGAATTTTGTGTTTTATTTTACCGGACTAACTGGTAGTTGATCTATATAATATTGTTTTTGCATAGATATGTTAGTAGCTACAGCAGATCCTGTATGTAGACAATTATTCATGTTTAATTTGTAGCGACGATTTTGGGTCCTACTAGAAGCAATAATTGAATTTCATTTCATTTCAATTTATTTTCTGTAGGTCTGGTCATAACTCGATGGACTATTAAGATTGTTATGTTTCTTCGTTTTGTTGTTTTGAGCGTGGTCCGTTAATTAGATGGACTACTTGGAGAAGTTATCGTTAAAAATCTAGCAAAAGATTCATGTAGCTAACTCTAATTAGTTGTTGTTGCCTATTTTATATTTTAAAATTATTTATTAATATATTAAATGATTTTAAAAGTCCCCTTCCATTTTTTTTTATAAAAAAAAAAAAATTCAAATTTTTTTTCCCATTTATTCTTTGCTTTGCATTAGTATTTATCAATTAGCTTGAGACTAAGACTTGATTGTTGTTATACCGTCTAGTGTCAATGTACCAGAGGAAAAATAATTTCCAGTAATTATTGACGAAATTGTGATGAAAATCAAACGGTTCAAACCAAACCCTATAAGGAGTGCACAAACATCTGTTTGAATCAAAGGAATTAATGGCGTCCAAATCAGGTACTAAGTATTTCGTCCACCATCTTCCAATCCACAAGAACCCTACACTTGTTTATCTAACAGAAAGCAATTTTTGCAGTAAATGCTAAAATGACATGAAGAGGACCTTTTGCAGTTGGAAGAATCAATGACCAGATTTCAACATCATAATAAGAATCTCTGGACAATGGGGTGGTAGAAAGAATAAAAACGTGGAGATTTAGGTGGAAGAACATGTGGCACAATTTGGTTATAAGAATTTGAAGCCAATACGGTTCAAATACTAAACTAGGATCATTCACGTCCTAGTGTTGTTGAATCATAACCAGAATGAGATGTGGCATTATAGGGCACGTATGTTAAACTCAATTGCTATTTATTGCAATTTCTGCTCAGAATCAATGACTGACGGAATTGAGGGGTACCCTAATCCCTAAATTAAATTTTGTACAAATACTGTTGAAGATTTAGTTATATTTGTCCACATTTTAGGGTACAGATGTAGCCCTAAACTGATCCAAACAGGGAAATTTTAGATCTTTGCCAGTAAGCATTTAAGACACATAATTTGACATAGGGATCACCTCCCTCCATTTTACAAAGTTTCTCATTTCCTCCATGTCTTTACCCCCTTTCTTATTTAATTTCTCTTCATCTCCACCAACCTTTCAGAAGAGAAGCAATGAAATTTTTGGGAAAAAAAGAACAAGCGATGGGATTGCTTACAAGGGTAAATAGGTTTCGCAACATAATCTAACCAAATGCACTTAATTTTTAAAAAATTATGATCCGGCTCTTAAGTTGCACAAAAAATAAATTCAATAGAGTAAAAAAAAAATTGAAAAAAAGTTCAAACACCAAAAATATAATTATCCCTTCAACATATTTAGTTTTATACAATACGTGGAAAGCAACCAACTTCCTACTACCATCTCACTTACCCCAGCAAAAGCAAGCACATAAGAAGAAGAAACAATGAAACAGACAAGAAGAGGCCGTCAAGTCACCGAAAAAACAGTTTTCATGAAAAGTTGATATATGATAATGCTTATCCAGACCTTTTTTTCTCTACCCAGCACCAGAATTCAACTTCTCAATCAAGGGGGGATCCCAAAATTCACAAAGTAAAATTTACAGTCACATCTATAAGATGAGACAAAGGAACTGAATTTCTAGTGAAAAATCAAGTACAAGTTTGAGGCCACAATAATACAATGTTGAAATGTCATATCAAGCACTTGTGTGAGTTGTTGCTTAGCATATGCTAGAAAATGACTTTTATGGCAGCTATCAATTTTGAAAGGTATACGTTTAAGAGCCTACATTTCTAAATAGAAAAAGGAAAGCGAAGGCCATCCTACATTGGTGCTTGAGTCTGTGTGTTCTTTTTCCTTTCTGAGTGTCCAATAATAGATCTCTAGTAATTCAATGCATGAAGACATGGAGGAATGTATTTTCTACATGATAATTTCTTTCTAATTGTTCAACAGAGACAATACATGTGTTGAGTTTTAATATTTTCTAGTCCACTTCAAGTGCACAATGCTGCACATAGCAATCACATCTATTGCACGCATGTGTTTATCAGTAATTGTGTGTATGTACATGCATTTTAACAGGAAGATGCAGTCCCCTAATTCAGTAGAAAATCAATATTTATCTAAATTAGTAACAAAATTCACAAATCAAATTCTTGTTCAATTTTAAAAGAGCAAAGAATATTCCTAAGAAGAAATTTATGTGGCATATGTAGTGACAGAAGAATTCACTAACCACTGAAGTTTTTTTCTTTTTTTTTTTTTTCTTTTTTCTGTACCAATTAATTAATTATTGCAACTAAACTCACTAACTACAACTTTCCCAATAACACAAATTCCTATTAATTAATATTGATACTAATTCAACTTTCACAAAGAAAATAATATTAATATCTTCAATCAAAGTTATCAACCTCATATGAATAAAAAAACATCAACCTTTTTAAAGCAGGAAATATGAACACAAACATGCTAGCTCTACGCCTTTTCTTAACCCAAGGCTAGTAAAAGAAAACTACAATAAAGTTCTGAATCATGATGTTATTTTTAAGGGATTCTACTAAGCCTATGTAACAGCCACAATATGTCTGAAACGGTAGCATTTCAAATATGCTCGAATTAATATTTAACCAGGCACAACAACACCGGTGAATGACCAAAAACGAGAGAGCGAAGTGCTGCTCTGGGAACAAGTACAGTTTCTCTTTTTTCTAATACTGTAAATCTGAAATGATCCACAAAGATGGTTATTTGAAACATGACTCCAATTGTGGGGAAATAAAGGATGATTCTTGCTCATTGCAAGTGTCATACAAGGCCCCACAGACTCCACATTGTAACTTCCCCACCATTATTATTGTGATTTTTCATTAATATTGCTACTCCACTCTGAAAGGTAAAGAACCAAGCAGAAAGTTTAAAAGTGGAGGGAAAAGGGAGGAGAGGTATTAAATATACTCGTGGATGGAGGATATGCTTCCTTAGACAGCAGCAACATCATATGACATCCAACTTTACATGATTTAAATCAAAGAAACATTATGATCAACATAATCAGAACAAGAATGACATGAAATTTTGATTTTATAAATATATAAATGTCGTTAGTCATGATTAAGCATCCACTAATTTAAGCATCAATTGAAAGCAATAAGTCTAGCTGTACTGCTAATGGATTGCAAAAGTCTACAGGAAATATCACAGGGACAACAGTATTGGCATCTAAAAAAATAACAACTATATCTTAAAAGTCAAAAGGAAATATAATCAAATTAGGATAATTGTCGCATCGAAAAGAATTTTGCAATGAATTGCAAAGGAAATTGTTCAGATAGCATAGCAATATTCGGTGTTGGGATAGTATAACAACTAATGGCCAAATACACATCATAAAGGTAAACCATGATATTCACATTTGATAAAACTTTTCTCAAATTCAACTTTCGAAATGAAATCTACAACGTATTCAGCAAGAAAAGAGTGTACTAGCCATACAATAAAAGTCAACATCCTGATTCTAAATGCATTTTGCATGAATCAAATAATCTGATTACATCACCTGAAAAGAAGAGTTTCCAATAAATGTCAACATTTTGATTCTAAATGCATGTTTGCAGTTTCCAATAAGGACTGCATATCCTGTTAAATGGACAATTCTTAGCATAAACTGGAAAAATAAAATGGGACATGGAGCAAGGAAATAATTATTTTGAATGGAAAATCTATTACTTTACTGCAAATATCTACTCACTTTAATTCATCTGATCAAAGGATTAACATGAATATGATCTAGTTAACATTTCCTAAATGTATATAAAATCCCCGCAGAAATATTATCGACTGAAAATAGTCAGTCAAGTCAAGACTTTTCCCATTCCCTTAATTTTTTTTGTTAAAATCAGGGATCTCAAACCACCAAAATGTTAAGCAACTAATTGACATAAAACAATGGCTGATTATAGTTTAACAAATCGACATGCCTACTTGAAATAACAAACATTTGACTTTTAACCCCTCCAATACTGTAAAAATAAACTCAAAGTCTCAAACATTTGCAGTTATTTGTTCTAAAAATTTGTGAAAAGATTTTACTGAATTAACCAGTTAATGCATTATCAAGAAACTAAACTCGCAATACCAACATTTAGTAAAATATTTAGACATATCAATATGGGTGTCGTACCAGTTTAATAGAATAGCAACAATTCTTGAATTTTAAAACAATGGCTGATTATAGTTTACAAATTGACATGCGTACTTGAAATTACAAACATTTGACTTTGAACTCCCTCCAACACTGCTCGTAATACTAAAATAAATCTAAAACTTAACTAAGACTATAGAACCTGCTAGGTTCTGGAAATTAAACTTCATTATGATTCCTGTGGTGGTGCTAGAAGTTTTAATTCAATCATGGGTCTCTCAATATGTTGCTATATTTCTTGAAAAGTTTTTCTTTGGCGCTGGCATGCTTAAGTTTCAAGCAATTGCAGTATCTCTGAAACTTACTTGAATTCGTAATTGCAACGCTTAAACAAAATTTAATTTTTGCAACACATGTCCAGTAAAAATTAGGGCCATCCCCTAAAGAGAGAACATAGAAACAAGAAAAAGCAAATATATGAAGTTTCCTTAAAAACTTGAAAGAGACGTGTACTGTCCATACATCTAAAGAGCAATAGAAGATTGTATCTAGTGGTTATCAAAGGCTTGATGTGTTAAGGTACAATTGTGGAAGACACGGATGAAGAATGAAGCAAAATTGTAGGAAATAGAAACTTGAAGTAAGCAAACATCCTTTTTCTGGTGGGACAGAATGACAGGAAAGTGGAAAAGAAAAATTTTAAGTTAATCAAGTGGACCATACAACCTAATGATCAAGAAGCATTCTCAATTCCATGGAGGTGTGACAATGTATTATTGTACATCCCAGATTCTGAGCACACGTTTAACAACAAAAGTGACAATCATATATTGTAATATGCGCCTAATACATCAAAGTTGCTAGTTGTTACCACTTAGTTTGTTTCACACTTGTTTGCCTTTCCTGTCCGATTTCCTCTTTTTGAGTAGTCACACACAGCTTGCTGCCTATGCTGCCCCTGGCAATAGGGATATTGAAGGTTAAACTGTTGAGGTTTGACAAAAAGAGATGTAGATTTCCTTGAATCATATTAAACAATAAAAATGGGAAGTTCAATAATGATTCTGAAAGTTTGTTGTAAGGAGCTATCTATATGACAATATTTTGATACTGAGTTCGTAATTTGAAGGGTCCTTCACGCTCTAAAAAGCCATGGTCCAGTTAGGAATCCAGCTCCGAATGCTTCGGAAGCATTTTGGGTCACATATTCTGCAAATGCTGCTATTTGATTCTCTAGAAAATCAACAGTAGTCTATCTGATTCCGGTTCTTTGCTATATTTTACGTTCTAGACAACCTCTAAGAAGAGATCATAAACAATCCTTTTTCCTCTTCTTTAAAGATTATTCGGCTAAAGAATGAAACTCTTACCTCCATCAACCAATGATAGAAGTTAGTATTCAAGATTAACTCCCTACGGGTATAGCATATAGATAAAATTGATGATACAATGAATAAATATTGCAACAGGTTAATCGAGGAAGCAATTCCCATTTTTGCCATTGCTTATCTGGAATGGTAAGTCGATAACCCGTAGACCCTTTATAATTAATAGATCCACATATATAAGATCGAGCAATAGCAATAGTTATATTCTCAATGACGTTTTTCTCTTCTCTTTCACAATCTCAGGTTTCAAGCTCCTCCTTATTGAACATCTATCCAGAAAGAAAAAACAGGGATTTCTTCCCTACTTCTTGGCATTTTGGTTTCTTTGTTAGGGTCCAAACCAGCAGTGAAGTCATCAAAATGAGCCTGACACAGTTACTCCGCTCATTGGTAGTGAATCATGTCACTACCTTTTAATCTATGCTCCGTCCTTCTAAACATTCTCTATAATTTCTTCTCTGTCTCAACTAACTATCTGCTATACTATATTATATTCAATGTAATTTAATCAAATGTATAACTGTTCATCTACATTTAGCAATCTACTTATCTAAGTACAAGGATTCATATATGGAATATCTGCTAAATCCTATCATCCCAAAAAGCAAAAACAATTACAGTTTTCTTACTTTACAAAGGCCCCAAAAGACTAGAGCGCTAAAAGCTAATCATTTCAAATAATATGTAGTGGGAAGTCATCGTTATTGTAAGCCCATGGCAAACCAAAATAAATAAATAAATAATGACATCCTATCAATCACACCACCAAGAAATGCTTTATCCCACAAAGTTAAACCCCCCCCCCCCCCAATGACATCCTACTCAATCACACCACCAAGAAAGCCTTTCCCACGTTAATACCCCCCTCCCAAAAACAAAAAAAAAAAAAAAAAAAAAATTTCTGCAGCTCCTTCAATCGTGTAGATCATCCAATTGGATACATCTTATCATAGAATAAAATCAGTGATAACATTCAAAAACATTATGATTTCTTCCAAATCAAATCCACCTTGCCTTGTAACTCACCCATCTCATTGGGTTAAAGGCTTAAAAGCTTCATTGATTATTATGGCTCATAATGCTGCCAAAGTTTTGTGGGTATTACACATACAGTAGGTAATCTAGAAACCATTGTAACAGATACAATAACTAAAAGTTTAAATAATGAAAAAAGAAAACAAGTGGCACATCTTCTTTAAACTTTGGCTGATTTTGTGACATCAGAAAGAGATAAAGAGCTTGAAAAGGCAAACAAATTAATCATGTCAAAGAAGTGAACAAATGTTATATAATGACACCATTGATTGGAAAATAGACAGATTGTAAAACAATAATTCAACTTATAATCATAATTAAATTGAAAGACATGAAATCAGTGGGTATTAAGTCAAGGTAACCGAAATCCATTAAGCAAATAAGACATATCAATTATGCGTATGGAAGAGAAAATTATTGAAGCTACGAAGGAAAATGCAGTTTACCAGTTACCTGTTAGCGATTCAGTGGATCTGAGAAACAAAATCTGCTAGAGAAAGTGGAGACTGGGGAGTAAAAAGGCGAGCACGGAGCGAAGAAGCAGCAGAAATCCGATGGGCGGCTACGACGTCGTCTCGCTTTCTAAACTTTCCGACTGAAGGTGTAATAAAATATTCACAAAATTAGGAATAAAAGGAGGTTTTTTGGATTTTCCTTTGAAATGAGAATTTGAGATTTTTTGGATTTTTTTTTTAAATTAAAGAACTCAGAAATATTTTTATTTTAGTGAATAATTCATATGAATTTTAATTAAATAATGAGGTCCATTTCACCTAGTGGATTCTACATTAAAAGAAAAAAAGAAAAGAAAAAAAAATATTAACATCTTATACTATATCATCAAATTCTAAACTTTTTTTTTTTAAAACATTGTCATCAAATCATGTTATTTGTTCCATTTTTTTTAAAAAAATAACTAATATTTATTCCGTTAAACATTAAACATTAATATTTAATGGTATAGTACAATATATTAATTATATATTTTTTACATTTTTACTAACTTGAAATTTCGTTAGAAATTATGGGGTTCATTATTCAATTAAAATTAATATTTTTATTAAGTATTAAAATAAATTTTTTTTTTGAAAAAATTTCAAAATTCTCATACCAAATCGAATAATTTTCTTACACAAGTCAAATATTTCTGTAAATTCTCACACCTACTAATATTTCTGCTCTCGCTGCCCGTAAGGAAAAAGCTCGCCATACAGAAAAAAGCGATAAACTTTAACTATAACTAAGCGCCAAGCAAGATTAGACGATAATACAGGCTGGACATATAAGAAAAACTCTCCGGATCGATCCCCATTAAATGCACTTACAGAAAAAAGCGATAAACTTTAACTATAACTAAGCGCCAAGCAAGATTAGACGATAATACAGGCTGGACATATAAGAAAAACTCTCCGGATCGATCCCCATTAAATGCACTTACAGAAAAAAGCGATAAACTTTAACTATAACTAAGCGCCAAGCAAGATTAGACGATAATACAGGCTGGACATATAAGAAAAACTCTCCGGATCGATCCCCATTAAATGCACTTACAGAAAAAAGCGATAAACTTTAACTATAACTAAGCGCCAAGCAAGATTAGACGATAATACAGGCTGGACATATAAGAAAAACTCTCCGGATCGATCCCCATTAAATGCACTTACAGAAAAAAGCGATAAACTTTAACTATAGCTAAGCACCAAGCGAGATTAAACGATTCCTAATATTTGGTATCCGCGGTCCCGATACCCATCACTTGCAACAGGAAATATTCATAATTTGAGAAACTCACTTGATAAAATAATTAAAAATCAATTTTCGTAGATGTGCAGCATATTTTTGTTCTTTTTAAAATGTCAAGTTTGAATTTGGAACATGATCACATTGAAGTGTAACTTAATATTGAACTAGGCTTGGCTGTTTAAATCTTCCGTTAGAAGAAGAAAAGTTTACTCATCAGGCATCAACCCCTAAATCACACTTGACCTATTTCTTTTCTCCATGAGAAATGAGAAGCAAGTATGTATTCAGATAATCAAAAGCACGAGTTAGAAGAAAGTTGGCACTCCAGCAACTTGACTCATGGCCCAAATTGGTTTCCATGATTCTATAATCTATAAAATCTAAAAGCACAAAGAAGCAAAAATAGCGGTATCTGAACATGCAAACGAAGAACAGTATTTCGAGTCAAGATTTTGCTCAAACAGTCATCAAATGCACAACACTTTAAAAATATATTTAAGTCCACAACTTTTCTTGATATCATAATTAAAGAGTTTTAAAACAATCAGGCATTTAAACAAACATAAACTAACACAAACTTTTTTATGCAATCAAAACATAAATGTGGAGTTGCATCCAGACCATATCAGTCACCCCCATCAAATAATTCTTCAACCCTGCCTCACCACTTCCCAACTTTCAAAAATCATTCATTCCTCTTGGTGCATGGCCAGGGTGCCTTTCTAGGCTTTTATCTTGGATTTCTCCATTGCTCTAGGAGCTGTGGACCAGACCAAAATGAAGCTCAAAACAGTCATAACATCAACTTTCAAATAATAACAATAACAAGAAGAATAATAGAATCAAATATGCTACCGATAATCAAATGAAAAAGAAATGTAATCTGTAGCAAATCCTTGTTATAGAAGTTACTTGTGGGAAGTAAACAAGTAATTTGTTTGGTGGTTTTCCCATGCAATATAATGCTTTTTTGATCAGTTGGAGCATCCTAATGCAGCTTTTCTTATATCTTAACTGCATTACATTGTCCTAATTTTTTTGCATGACCACCAGGGTTAAGACCTTTTACCTATAATGCATACGGCAAAGTGGAGGGCAAGAGCAACTCTTATGGCATCACCATTCAAATTACTCTTTATAGACAAGCATACCAGGAGAGAATAAAGATGAACTTATGGAATTACTCTCTCCTGAAATTACTCCAATGGCATAACCATTCAAATTTCTCTCCCAGCCAACAGTAAAAGAACTCTTTTTTTTTTTTTTTTTTTTTTTTTTTTTTTTTTGGGGGGGGGGGGGGGGGGGGGGGGGGTGTTGGGAGTTGGGAGAATAACCACAAACTTCAATATTTGTTTACTTAATTTCATTGGGAAAAGGAAAACACACCTAACCCAAGTCGCTCAAGAGCTCTTCCATGATCTTTAAAGCCTCTCTGCATGTATCAAGGGGGGGGGGGGGGGGGTGTTGGGAGTTGGGAGAATCACCATCAAACTTCATATTTGTTTACTTAATTCATTGGAAAAGGAAAACACACCTAACCCAATCGCATCAGAGCTCTTCATGATCTTTAGCCTCTTGCATGTATCAATAAACATCCTGTGGCAAATCAAACAAAGAGTGAGAGCTGGAACAAGTCTATCAAGCACATTACAAGCTTTTGAAACTAAAATCCAATTGATCCCAGGAAGACAGGCTATTACTTCATGTGACAACTATCAAGCAACCCCAATATCACATTCACATCTGTGACAAGGAACCACGAAGTTTTATTTTGACAAAACTGCAATAAATCGAACTCTCAAGAAAGACAAGTTTAAAATAGCTTGAATGTGTAGGCACATTCACATAATAATTTGCTTGATGAGTAAGCTCTAAGTGATTAGATATGTAAACATATTCTGCTGCACACTACTATTCATACATGCATAAAGTATGTGAACAAATTTATTCAGTATCAGGAATTCATTTACTTGACGACAGTACATGAGAAAGGAGTGACTTGGTTAACCTGGAAATATTAATAAAATGCTAAAAGAAACATGTCTCAACTCATGATAAAAACACCACCTATCCACCAAAAAAAAAGCCCCTGATATATAAATGCCTGGAAAGGTGACACCAGATCTAGAAGGGCAAAAAACTAAAGATTCCATGAGCTCAACAATCTGTTAAAAATTAAAAAACCTACATGATTATTTGATTTTGATAAAGAGCTTCAGTGCATTAAGTTACTCATTGAAAACTATGGATCAAACCAACAGAAAGTTTAAACATTTATAAATAAATAATAGCAGAAAGTGGTGTATTTCTCTGAAAACAATAAGTACAGTCTTTGCACATATATGTTGACTTCATGCAAAAAGTGCATGCTTTCTGGCACTCTGGAAAAAGAATAATTACAAGTATCTGATATTTGGCAAGTTAGAGACAAACTTAAGCACAATCATTTTTCTGGGACAAGAGAGAGCTTGACCAAAATTATAAATTGTCTCATATATTGATCATCTTATGACTGATCTTATTTTCTATGGGGAAACAAACTAACAGGTGAATAAATTACAGCACCCAGCAGATATAATGATTGTGATCTATTTTTATTTTTCTTTTCCCAACGATTCAGGGGAAAATTCATGAAAAACACAACAAAGGCAAATATTCAACTGAAAATATGCTAAAAATGAAACACCAAATTACTGCATTGCACCTTCCTGAATATGATTTGAATCACCTTATTTGTTCTATGAAACAATATCTTATTGTGGTGGGTTCTTTACACGCAATTTAGAATCTATATATTATTAGTTAGAAAAGGTATAGCAACACTACAAGTAATCACCTCTTTGACCAGAGCCTTCAGTTTTTGTACAATTAAATATTCTTCATAAGAAATTTCAAACTATTGTTGTTTAGCATCAAAACTACATAAGATATTATGAAAACTAAAATCCCTAAATTCAAAAGTCCATTTTGACCTGAAAAACAACAGTAGAATTAGCTCAAATCATCATTTCAACTTATAATGCTAGGCACAAAGGAAAGCCAGTCCCTGCACACACACCACACACACGATATGCATTTGAATCTTTCAAATGTCATACATAATGTAGATATAATTTTGTCTAGGTTATAATATATCTATGCTTCAAAATTCACTAATAAGGAAAATGGTAAAGGAAGAACCATATATAGTCAAAACTTACTCCCATGGCACATCCCCAACAAGCATCCAATCGCCATCCTTATCCTCGTATGTTAGCACATACTCTGATCCATTCAGAAGATCCCTTAATTTAATCTCACTCAGCTTTTCCTTCCCAGGAGCTCCATGAGATCCACATTGACCTGAAATAATGAAAAACTGTAGCAACCATGTCCAAAACAAAATGGATTGTTTCTTATCGTACAACTTAAAACCAATGAGATTCTATATATCAGATTATCCACCATGATATTACCACACAACTGAACATGTACCAATAGCTTACCTATGGTAAAACAACTGAACATCTTCTCAAGAGCACAAGAGAGTTCTTGATAAGTGGAGTAAGTTCTTAGATCCACTTTCCTTAAATAAGGAGCACCATCCATGCTGACCTTGATAAAAAGAGCACCAAGACCTGGTTTTCCATCAACTTCATCATTGTTCTTTGAAGAGGTAGCTAATGTGTTCTTCCTAAATGACTTAATTGGAGGCCAACCAACAACCTGTGCCCTGAAACAGAAAATGTAATCGTAGTCGTCACTACTTAGTTCATATTTCCTCCTTTCAAGTGCTTAACAATCCTTTTTTCTAATTTTTCCACTTACTTCGCAGCAGGGACACTGCTGCTATTGTTAGAAACACCAGCCTGGTTGAGGTTGGTTCCATTGGCAGCACGAGATCGGTCCTGTAACACTTTCTTGGGAACCTCTTTCATCATGGCTGATTGGGCCACAGATGGCCTAGATGATAAGATTGCACTTATCCCAGAATTACCGGGGAACTTCCCTTGTCCCAAAGATTGTAGAGAATCAGTATCTGTCCCAGCCGAGTGAAATAACCAGTTTTTTTCTGAATACACAGAACCCTTTACCTCAGAGAATCCATCCATGGTGTCAGAAAATCCTCTTTTGTTGCCTGAAACAACATGCTTCTGTGATGATGAACAGATTCCATCTTTCAAAGGAAGCAAAGGAAACAGAGGCTTCTCATCAAGCTTCCCTGTACTTAGCAACGAAACATCTGTTTCTCTTTCAGGAGATTGGGATCCAGGAAGGCCAAGTCTCAACTCAGTAGCCTTTAAATTTAGATTGTTCTTAGTCTCCTTTGATAAACTTGGGACAGCAGAACTGTCAACTGAAGAACAATCTGATAAACCCAAATAGTTCCGCTCTGTTAAACCGCAGCCATTTTGTGAGATACAATCAATGGAAGGCGAAGAGGCCACTAAAGAGACATTGTTCTCCCCTTCCTCCTCCACACCCAACAGAGGTGGAGACATCACAAACTTCACAAATCAATCTCTTTAAATTTTAACTGTTTAAAATAAATCACACCCAAAGTTAAACTTATTGCTTAATTCCCCAGGCATGCAATAAAACCAAAAATGCAAAACCCAAAAAGAAGTTCATCAACAATCATATTCTGCCAGAGAAGTCAGTATAACAAACAGCACCCGCCATTAAATGACCTAAATCATCACGAATTATCATCACAAGACAATTAACATGTAGTTTCTTTACCACTTTTTGGACATAGCAAAAAATGATCCCCCGCAGCTTTTCCAGTTCAAATACCGGGGCTTAACCCAGCACTTGAGTTAGTCGTTAAAGGGGGCCACGATTAATTGCCCTTCACATTCGGGTTAGGTGGGATAATCGTTAATAGAAAGAGAGAGGATGGACTTGAGAAATGTTACTAATAAATACTCGTGGGTTTGTCCTTAGTTGTAAAAATATAAGTCAACCGCGTTATATGTATTTTTTCTTCTCTTTCAAAAGTGATTTTAGATTTTTCTTTTCTTTTTCTCCTTTTTATGCATGAAATTTCTTCTCTAATTTCCCGGAAACCAAACACCAAATATCGAACAGAAGGAAACAAAGGAAGGGGGAACAAAAAGATCAAAATATAAAAATCTCAAACTCAAGCGAACTTCATTTAAATAAATCAAAAAACTGCAAAAAAAAAAAAAAAAAAATCAAAAATATAAATCTCAAACTCCAAGCCGAACTTCCATTTAAAATATCAAAACGGCACAAAAAAAAAAAAAAAGAAAGAAGAAGCAGAGCACTCCACAGTCTTACATTCCCCAAAAAAATAAATAAAATAAAGAAGAAGAAGAAGAAGGACCCACTGGTTTACACGCAAAAAAAAAAAAAAAAAAAAGAAGAAGCAGAGCACTCCACAGTCTACATTCCCAAAAAAATAAATAAATAAAAGAAGAAGAAGAAGAAGACACTGTTTACAGCATACATTTACCAGGAATAAAAGCGCCAGCAAGATCTCAGAACACAGGAAAGCAAAACCAACTTAAAAAATGAAAAATAAACAAACAAATTAAAGTATAAAAAAAAAAAATGTAAATAAAGCTGGTCCAAAAAAAATTTAAAAAAAAACGTACCTGAAAAGCTAAGAAATCAAGAGAAAGGAGAAGAGGAAGATCGATAAACTTTGTAAATATTCACTAAAAATGCAGGAGCAGCAGGCAACGAACAACAGAGAAAAGGTAGAGAGAGCTCAGGGTCCTTCCATCAATCACAAAGCAACAAAAGCTCTTTGGCTGGGCAACTCGAAGCTAAAAGAAAACAAAAGGCCAAAAGGGCAAAAAGGAAATTAACCCCAAAAGTCTGTTCTATTTACTTAAAAGTCTCCCCTGAAATGGGTACTTAGGGACTAGATCGGGCGGCTGACATTTGTTTAGAATGGATAGATGTGAGCCGTTGATATTATAGAAACAGAGGAATATTTTATCCCGTCGTTGTCGTTTGTGTCCTTTCGGCTTTTATTTTTTCTTTTTATTTTCTTCCTTTTCTTCAGACAAAATACTTGAAAGAGTAAAAAGATGGCTTCTGGTTTCAAATTCCTGCTTTTTGGCTCAAGCGTGGTTTGCAAGTCCAATATCGTTTTTACCCTTCTTTCACTTAAATGACTACTGTGTCCTTGTGCTCAATTAAAAGTTAAAACTAACAGAATTTTTTTAAAAAAAATTTTTGTTGTACTCTGAAGTGGTAAATTTGGAAGGCAAATATTTATATGTTACTAAATCTATCTTTTTATTCCAATTAAAAACCAACACCGATTGAGATCTTTTTCTCCCCGTTAATTAGAGGTTTCAAATCCAAACTTTGGTGATAAAAATTATCACACTAGGAGATTTACCTTCTCTATAAATCTCGCAATACTCGAGCGGAATGCAAACATTGTTAGAGCTTAGCATTGATCACCATTCGTGGATCAATCTTGCGAAGGAATCTTTAGATTTTCAGAACATTGGATTATCACCAATGTTTGCATTACTTAGTCGACATTCTCGCTTCCACTTCGTTCATTCCTACTCACTGAATTTTATAATAGCGATGGTTTATCAAATCGTTTATCAAATTCTATCAATTGAATCCTAAATTAATAAATTGTTTCTTTTTCAAAAATTGTAAACATCTCAGTCCTAAATAGCTACAACACCTAATTCTGACAAACACAATTACCGGCAATATTTTGTACTAATCTGTATTGAATTGGTAAAGTTGAGGACAAACATTATAATTATTATTATTCACCAAAAAGAAGATACAAATCCAATATTTATAAAGTGGTGGCATGGTAATTTGTGCTAACTTTCCTTAAACGTGAGTTTTAGTTCGTTGCGGTGGACATTGAAGAAAAAGAAAGGGCAGCACAACTTACAGAAATAAGAATACAAGTTGGGAGAAACATGAGGGTTTTGTCTACCCAAATTTATCATATTCAAGTTTTATTCAACCACTTCCAAATCACAAATAATACCAACCAATGCTTTATTGTCTAAGTTACTAAATCCACCCTAAAATCTTTCCTTTACATGTGACTTGTGCTTGCTTATAATGGGAAATCCATAACTTACTTTGTTTTTTCAATTAATGGAGCATCTTTATTTATTTTTTTTTTTTTTGTAGAATTGAAATCAATTATTATAGCAAGAAAAGACTTACCCACGTGATATAATCTCAAATTCAATAACAGCAACTAATATAATTAAAGATACTAAAAAGCACACTAATGCACTTTGCTGGGAAGATAAAAGAAATTCTTACACTACAATTTAAAAGAATTATACTCCCTAATTATATTAAAATAAATATTTCATATATCCATAAATATAAATCATTTAAGGTTGTTATGCGGTCATTAAAGAGACAATCAATTATTTTAAATTATAGTAAAATGTTTATTAATTTGACTAATTTATGCTTTACAAAATTATAAAAATAATTACTATATTTAATATAAAAATATTATTTATTACTCAATGATATTTTTAAAACAGCTTATAAAAAAGTTATACTAAAATATATTATTATATTTGTGAACGGAAACAGCATGAGTGTATTTGAAGTTGCAATGTAGAGAATTAGGAGAAAATAATTTATTTTGTAAATGGTGTTCTTGGAAGCAATCGAAAGTAGGAAGGAGAAGGGTAAAAATGGAAAAGAAGAGTGAGAAATGGAATGACGCGAGAGGCAAGCATTAAATGAAAGAAAGAGGGAGACAGGGAAGAAGTGTGTGATTGGGAGACAAGAAAGCGGCATCTGAAGTCCGTTTGCCGGCTCCTGACCGCGACATTTAACTACATCCCCCCAGATGCCCACTTCCCAATCTTTCTCATTCTCTCTCTCTCTTTCTTTCCTTTTCCATAATTACCCTTCTACTATTTTTAGTGCTTTTATAGTATTTATATTTTTAATTTTATATTATTTCCCACTTTTAAGTTTTTATTTTCCGAGCAAATCAACTTTACCAATCTCGTTTTTGATTAAATAAACAAATTTGAAAATAGAATTCTTTTCCTAAAAGTATTAGGATACAACTCAATTGGTGAATAAGTAGCTCTGTAGCAGTTTTGCAAGTGAGAAAAGAAGAGGGCCAAAATCCATTAAAGGATGCTGGAAAGCATCATTAATTGCAGGGTGGGTTGTTTGCATGCTGGAGCATGGTCCATCCATGCCTATGAAACCCATCATCACTCCTCTCGGCCCCACATCATCCTACGTAACCCACACCTAACTAATTAGCTGCTTGTATATCATTTGATTTAGCAATACATATATGTATGCATAGATTAAAATTCTCTTTCTAATTTCGTAAGAGAATAAATAAATATATATTGATTAGCAATACATATATGTATGCATAGATTAAAATTCTCTTCTAATTTCGTAAGAGAATAAATAAATATATATATATATATATAAAAAATCAAAACTAACTTAGACTTATATCATCAATAAATAAATATATATATATATATATAAAAAATCAAACTAACTAACTATTCATCCAAATAACATGTTTGCTTCAATAAAATGTTAGATAGATAAGATGTTTATTTAGAAACTAAAATTATGGAAAGCAAACAAGAGAAAGGGAAAATATGGTAAATTATAAAAAACATCATTAATATGATAAATAAAATAATTACTACTATAATTATTTTTTAAAATATTAATATTTACATATGATCATTTTATTTATAATTATTTAAATGATAAATAATTGATTAATATATTATTATAGACTATTTTAATTTATATCATTCTATTTGTATAACACATTGAAATTTTTTTTAAAAAAATAATTATTCACTTTAAAAAGTAAGTTATATATGTGTATAATACATTATATTATAATATATAAAAAAACTATATTTTTAATGGTCATTTTACTCCTTAATAACAATTGCTATAACCAATATTCATCTTCCAATAATTATCAGGCAGCAACTATCAACCAACAATTAGCACCAACAGTTAAATTAAATATACATTAAATTATAATATTTATAAGCGGAGATAATAAAATAATGTTGTTTCATACCACTGATGATTAATTTATTTACAATAGTTGAATAAGTCTGTTTGATAAAATTTTTAATTGATATATGATAATAACTAGTACAAGTTTAAATCAACAATTAATTACAATTCGTTCAAGAATGACTCGAGAAAATGTTGATCGTAAATGAAGGATTGGTTACGAAGAAGGATTTATTCGTATTCATATACATGAGAATTAAATAGGAACAAGAAAAATCTTGGATTAATTTTTATGATTAGACAAAAAAATTAACATTATCTCCGAAAAAGTATAATATAGTGTCTGCTTCTACATATGATAATATTATTGATGACGATCAGTTAAGCAAAAAAGTTTTCGTTAATTTGATTAAATTTTTCTTTATTTCACAATATTAATTTGATTGAATTACTCTTTATTTCACATTATTAATTTGACTAAGATGATTTTAAAAAGGACAAGACTTTTTTTTGAGAATTAAAAATGATAAAACTTGCCTACACTTAGGTGTATGATATTCACACATGTTAAGCCAATAAAAAATAAAATCTTACAATCTTATTCTTTTTTTTTTCCAATTTATGATTAAAAATCAAAAAAACCGTTTGTAATTTGTTTGATGTCTTTGTAGACTCATGCGTAAGTGTAGGTAAAGCATTGATAATTAAAAAATTGTTTTAGTAATTAACATGTTTAATATATATAAAGGTAAAATTGAAAAAGACTTATTTTCATAAATAAAATACACAAAATATGGATTTGTACAATTAAAATATTAATTTTTTTATAACGTTAAAATTTAATTTTATAAATGAATATCATAATATTAACGTGGAAATCATTTATTCCAAACCAGAGAAAAAGTCTCTCTATTTTTTTTAAATGAATGCATTAATTTCATTACTGCGAAATAAAATGTTAATATCTCATTATTTAATAACTCAAATTCGGCAAAGTTGCAAAAACAGATTTTTTGCTGGCCTGTGCCGCTATAATGGCCCCAGTGCCGGGAGACCTCCGCTTTGGCCGGTGACTCCAACCGGCGTTTTCCTTTTTTTTTGTTTTTTTTGTCATACGTCTCTATCCACACTAGATTAGAATCTTTTAAACCAATAGGAAACTGACACGCTTTGTATTTGGAACTAGATTCAGTTATAAGGACAAGTGCCGCGTCACCGACATGGATAGGCAATTTATAGTCAGCAATGAGGGCTGTGTCTGTAGCTTACGTGCGGGAAACGTGCGCTAGCACAAACATCTTTTGGGCCGTTAATTTGTGAATTAGAAAACAACAAATTTTAAATCCAAAGCATAAATTATGGGGCCGAGGCCCCCACCTTTCATTAGTCCAACTGCTAAAACCCAACTTATAAACCTCGTGATATTTGGGCTTCAACAGATATACCCTTTTTTTTTTTTTTTTGCCATTATGTACCATATCCGAGGGAAGAAGGTACGTTGGAAGAAAATATGTTGTCTACACCTAATACGTGGATGATCACGTAAACAGAGTCAATTAATTTTTTCTAAATGTTAAATGTTTTTTTTTTAATATATAATTAGAAATATCTTTATTTAAATCAAAGCACTATTTGAAATTAGTTTGGTGTATAGATTTACTAAACACCGAATGTAGATAAATCTTTTTATATTAGCATCTTAGACAATATTACGATCTAAATAGATTTAAATCAATTATATCAATATATTGATAGGGGTATCAAAATGAATTGATGAGTCGTGTTGGTGTTGAGTTGATCTAACACGTTAATAGTATTAATATGAATACGATATGTTCA